ATTAAGTACTGACCTAAAAGTTTCCTTTTGTTATTCAAGTGAAAACCGGTATTATTTTTTCATTAATCCGGTATAGCACGGAAAATGGAAAAAGTGTGAAAGACTTGTTTGGGTTCACGGTTCAATTTCAACGGCTCACAAATTCAACATTTCGAGACTGTATTTAACTTATTTTACTCTTAAATTTTAAATTTTGTAAATTAAAAATTTATAAGCATACAGACATTTAATAAGATTCTTTCCAGGAAAACCTTTCTAGTTTATTTATTGATCATCAAACTGATTTTAACAAAAGTTTATGATGGATTTTTTCTTGTCCCACCCGCTACAAATAATATTCTTCCTTCCATGTCCTTCACTTTTTATGATACGTAGCTTTTCTCTATTTTACAACAATAAACTTCCAAAATGAAGACATTCATAAATTACATGATGTAGAAGCTTTGGCCAGGTAGTTTTATGCATGTTTTATATTTCGCGCCGTAGCTCACATTTTTGGATAATACGCTGTGTGGTAGCGACATACCTCAAATAGATGGACTGTAAGTAATCAATTATAAATTTAACACACACAATCATTATGAAACATTTGAGGATAGAATCTCAGAAATGTCGAGTTCTCTAGAGTCGGTAAAACGAGAATTAATTATGTAATATCTAAACACAACATCTCCATGTGTGAATTGGCTTGTTGGTTCTCAGTTGAATATATAATAATGAGATAGTTGAATGTATTAGGTTTATAGTCAACTGAGTGAATTAGGCTTTCGTCGTAAATGCGGTGTCTAATGGGGATATGCATTAAATTTAATTAAGTATTTTTATTTAATTATTTGTTTAATTTGGACTTAATCTATTGAATAATATATAATTTTTAATTCAATAGTTTTCGTGTTCCGCTTGACCAATTAATATCTTTCAATTAATTAAGGTTTTTAGTTGAGATAAAAAAGTCAGGGTCACGAGCGGTATTCGAACCCACGATCTTCGGCTAGACACGCCGCTGCTCTACCACTTGAGCTGTCGTGACCTCGACAAAACCATAAACCTTAATTTTAAACTTTCGAACCGTCAATTAATTGAAAGATATTAATTGGTCAAGCGGACCACGAAAACTAGTGAATTGAATAAGTTAAAATAAAGTATACTGCACTAAAGCTCTCCGTGGCCATTTCATTTGTTGCCGAGAATCTAATAGATTACACGACATTTGAAAAATGGCAAAGAGGAGGGAAAATTCAAAAGGTGGGGTTGAGATGGGAAGTTAGTGTCCGAGTGGATCGAGGTCACGATACCTCAAGTGGTAGAGCAGCGGCGTATCTAGCCGAAGATCGTGGGTTCGAATCCCGCTCGTTACCCTGATTTTTATCTTAACTAAAAACCATAATTTTTTAATGTTCATTATGGGGGTTAGATAGGGTTGCTTACTAAGTCCCTTACTTTTCTCAATTTTTGTTGATGATTTTCCGTCCATTCTGGATTGGTGGTAATGTTATAAAAACATTATTTACGTAGACGAGAGTGTCAATCTAGCAGTTAGCATAGCGGGCCTTCAAAGGAACATAAATCTCTTCGAATCACATTGTAAACAATGAGGATTAAGAGTGAATTTAAAGAAATCTAACATCATAGTATTTTACAGTAATCGTAAAGTTAGCAGTTTAAAGGGGAGATTATCGAAGTGGATAAATATCCGGTTGTAATCCTCACTCCAGGTCGTGTTTGATGCAGGCCTCTGAAAGCGTCTACTGCATATGGGAATAAATAAATCCTGGCATCAACTGGCATGAATGTTTCCCACTGAGAGTGACATTTAGAGTATTTACTGCAGTATGTCAGAATATGATGTTATAGATGACAGCTTTGAGGTTACGTACAATTTGACACCGTTGAAACGATTCAATGCTTTTTTGTTCGGAAAGTCTTTCGCCTACCAGCAGCCACTCCAAATTTAATTAATTAATTTACTTAGGAACCTCATGTGAACTTCTTTTATTTAATTGAAAAAAAAGTATTCGTTTGCTCTCTCTGCAATCCATGTGCGATCAAAAATATTAATCATTTTCTAGCTGCGTGTTATCCATCGACTCCATTTGGGCTGTTCCTATTTGCCTTGAAATACCTTTATTAAGTATTTGAATGGTACAACAAACCCATAGCAACTGATCCAATATGCCTGACTTGCCTGGAATTACAGATAGGAATTAGTTCAGCAATTTAATTTTTAAGTTAATGTTATTTGTTTGTTGCATAAATTTCATTTTTTTTACTTTTCCTTTTTAAATAAGGATTGGAGGGTAATTGTTAATAATTTGCTAAAATTTTTTTGTTAATTTCATCTATTCTGACGTAAATCAGTATTCTTTTTTTTTTATTATTTGTGTCATTGCTGGCTTTATTCGTAACGCATGTTGAGTTTATATCTTATTTTTTCGTTTTTCTTTACATTTTTCCATTCATTTTTTATTCCTTTATTCTTGTTAATTTTTCTTTTATTCTTTAGTGTACGTTAATTTTATTATTATGCTTTCTTAATTTTCTTTTCTTTTTATCTTTATAATTTTTAGCAGCGACCTACGATTATACAATATTAAGTTGCCATTGTACACACATTCATATTTCTTTCTGCAACGACGAAATATTACTACTGTAAATAAAAACCTTTCTCTTTCTCACTCTCTCTCTCCTCTCTCTCTCTCTCTCTCTCTCTCTCCCTCTCTCTCTCTCTCTCTCTCTCTCTCCCTCTCTCTGTATTGGATCATACGTCTTGAACTTTCGTATCATTTTGCTTTTTTTTTGGAGTTATTGGTGATTTTGTCTCTTAAGGGTAGAAATGTGTGTTTCTTAGTGACCGGTTGTTTCATAATTTGTTGAAGTCGTGAGGAGCGGTCAAGAATGAGGTAGTTTAGCAAACACTTTTTTTATGTTTAAGCCGACGTTTCGACCTGCATTCGCGTCATCTTCAGGTCCTTGTTTCGTCTACATTTTAATAAGTAAATCCTTTGATTTGTAGCTGCTGCTCATTTCTTCTGATTTCTTGCTATGTTTTTGAGTATGGCAGTAGCTTGATATCATTGAAAAAACGGGGACTAAAAAAAACCTTATAAAATAATATTGCGACAATAATAAATACACAATGCTAAAAATGGCGCGTTATGAAAAGGCTCCTACAGAAGTAGGACCGTATTCGCAAAGGGGGCTTGAGAATGAACCCTTTGTGCTACAAGAGCCCTGCAATGTGTACTTCAGCCTTTTGAACATGCACATTTTCCGAGTTTTTTCACATTATACCGTCAGAAATAGCCTTAATCATGTACGGGTTTAGTTCTATTTTATCGCATACAGTATATGTAAATTGAATTACCTAATAATGACATTTCTCTCCCTTTCTTTCTATCGTTTTTCTTTCCTTCCTGCTCATACATTCAGTTTTGTTTAAGACAATGAAACGTTATCACCAAAAATGTGCGCCTAGATTTGACAAATTAGATCAACAACAATAAATAAATGATTTCTTTTACATTCTTAAGTTTTTCGCATTTTAGAAATGTTCGATTTTCCCTTTTGTGTTAAGCTTCGTTTTTGGCGAAGATTTAGTTTATTTAATAAAGCAAAAGAATTCTTCTTCGGGTTATGGTATCGGGTTTTCATTGCTCTGTAATTGCTTGTCTACGAACCGTTTCCTCCCGCATTTACTAAACCAAAAGATTAAATTGCAACTTCCACTTACATTTTAAAAAAAACGTATTATCTGTATATCAGTCTGGTATATAGAGACATTTTTGCAAGGTGTGTAAATTGAAGTTTTTTAATAAAAGTGTACAAAATAATAAGTGCTCTGATGCCTGTAGCGTAGAGATTATGTATAAACAAGTGTATTTTTGTGTACAGATTTACTGTTTTTGTAAAAGATTGTTTATAACAGTTGATTGTAGGACCTTGAGAATGATCCAGTGGGTTGAAACCGGTCGGTAATAAAGTCAGTTGGACATTGAAAGTCTATTTATTGTGGCCTGATATCATCAACCTCGTAAACAGTGAATTAAAGCTGATGCCCACAACACCCCACCGCTATATCAGATGATTTTTTTTCTAAGTCATAAGACTCTTCAAAACGGTAGATATCTGGGTCCCCAGAATGTAACATAGCTATGGCCAGGACGTCAGATCGTTTGGACTTAAACACGGCGATTTGGCCCTCGGACGCTAAAAATACAATAAAACATGATTACAAGTAAGTAGCAGAGTCGGCGGTCTGGATCGGCATATAAGCTTTTTTTTTAGAGAACTGTCGATCGGTGGCCCTTGGAGGACCTTACTCTAATGGCCTCCCTTCACTATGGCTCCTGACTTGATTGGCCATTGATCAAGTACGATCAGTTGATGGTGGCCAGCATGAATGCTTCCCCACACTATTCGTATAGATGGACCATTCTAGATGGGTGCGAATGAGCCACTCCAACGTCTCTTCTGCCCTCCATGTTCTTACTTTTTTTCAGCTTTTCTATGACGAATAAATAAACAATTATCTATTAATAAATTCGTATAAATCAAATTATTGTAACTGATTTAATCAAGTATTAGCATTAGCACTGCAGCAAGCAACAGGCACTGTTGTTAATGTTCGGCCAACTGTTTGGACATGCAACCTAGCAGCTCCGCAGATTAGATTCGCATTATGGCCCCCTTTGATGTGTGCAGCGAGCCATCGCCATCGTCTACTGGCTCCACCCCTCGACATAATGGGAATGGCCATAGTGAGGAGGGCCCATTAGAAGAAGGGATATCCTCACCCGATTAAGGTTAACCCATACGGACGCTTACTTTTGGGCCATAGCGCACATAAATGTCGGGCATTCAGAGAAAGGTTGCTCTATATGTTTAACTTTACCTAACTGAAAGGTTCAATTCCTTGGCTTCATAGAGAAAGCGTGTAGTTATTTGCGTCCTCAGTTCCGATTCTTGGAGGAAACAGTGTTGCTTTATTGGATGTAGTTGTAGTTTCATCAGCGGTATATACTAAAATTGGAACGATTCAGAGAAGAGTGGCATGGCTTCAGCGCAAGGATGACAGGCAAAATCGTGAACCGTACCACATTATTGTTCTTAGTACTGATAGTTTTGTGTCCCTAGCGTGTGTTGAAAGTGAAGCGACCGGATTGAATATACTGCAAATGTAGTTACAAACTCGATCCTATAAGCGTGCGAAAAAACAACAACAACCACGAAGAAGTAAGCGGACCTTAAAAGTAAAACGCTGGTGGAATAAGGATTTGATGACTCTTATATCAGCTGCTTATAGAGGAAGACGAGCTTGCCAACGAACCAGAGACCTGCCATCAGAAACTTGGGGAAAATGGAACACATAACAGCAAAAATAGAATTTGCTAAAGCCATAGAATAAAGTAAGTTAAAGAACTGCAAAGATTACGTGGAGAAGGAGAGTAAGGTTAGCCCATGGGGCCTAGCATACAACCTTTCCATAGATAAATTCAAAACCGAAGAAGTCATAGAATCGATTCGAAGCAATGGGTTTCATGCGGTATCTACACAAGAAACATCCTCAACCCTTCTAAAAGGATTTTTCAAGGCATAAGTCGAAGAAGGTAAGACAAAATTAACCAACTCCCGAGTCCCTCCGCCATACGAAAACTGTGTTCCATGGACAATCGATGATGTAAGATAATGATAGCATGATTGAAAAAGAAAAGAAACACCAGGTTGGACACAATCACCAGCGGAATAATTGTCAAAAGCGAGCCAATTTTCCCTACTTTAACTAGAATATACAATGATATAACAGGATACTTTCCAAAAATTTGAAAAAAAGCAAGAATAGAAATATTGCTTAAACCAGGAAACAGGCCAAAAGACGAAATAAGCTCATACAGGCCTATTTGCTGTTTACCGGTCATTGGAAAAAATTGGATTGGAAAAACTACCGCTGTCGAAACTAAATCTAATAGTAGACAACCAACTATGGCGAGACAATTCGGAGCACGGAAAGGCATGTCGACAGAAGTCGCACTATGCAAATTATACCATTTAGTAACAGAAAATTAACCCAAATCTTTTTTGGCAGCCAAGGTGTCTTTGACTCTATAGAATGGTACATCCTACTGAACGAATTCAAAAAATATGACCTCCCCACAAAATATTTTCCGTCACGAGCTATTTTAGGGTCAGATGAGCGGAATCTCAACTAAACACACCACGTAAGGACAAGCAGTTTCTAAGGATCGGTTTTGTGGTCCACTTTTCTGGAACATTGTCTTCAACAGCTTACTCAAGGCACTGGAGGAAACGAGGCCTGAGTTCGTAGCCTATGTGGATGATTTAGTAGCAATCGTACAGGCCGACACTGTGAGAAAACTCCAGAAAAAAGGAGAAATTTTCGTTGAAAAAATTTCTAAGTGGTGTACCCATACAAAATTAAAGTTATCCCCAGATAAATTCCGTACATTATTACTCACAGGAAAAGCCACAACAGCTCCAATCGTAACAATCGAAGGGAAACAAATAACGCAAAGTGTGCAAGTCAAATATCTTGGAGTAGAACTGGGACACAAACTCAACCAATGAGAGAAATGACCAGATGCGCGTTCTCGAAACTGAGTAGGATCGCCAAATCTACTTGGGGCCTTAGTCCAAAAGCCCTTTTGGCGGTACATAAGAGTGTACACACCTATAGCACTGTACGGAGTTTCAGCTTGGGGACAACTGCTTACAAGCAAAATAGGACAGCTTTGGAACAAGGACAACGTATAGCTGTTTAAAGAACGACAAAAGCTTATAAAACTTCTCCCTCACATGCGCTGCAAGTCCTAGCGTCGGCTCCGCCAATAGACCTCCTCACACATGGACAAATTGCGCTCAGAACGCTTACGGAAGGAAAACCGATAAACCTACCGACCGTGATCCCTCTGTAGACGTGGAGAGCCTTCGCTGTATGCCAAGAAAACAACGGCTGCGTTTCATCGACAAATGGATAAAAGATACATGGCAAACAATATGGTACAATAGTATCAAGGGTAGATTAACCCACGAGTTTTTCCCCAATATTAGTTCCCGGAAAAGCGCGACTTGGTTTCAATCCGATTTCTGGATTAGCCAGGTAATGACGGGGCATGGAAACTTTAATTTTTATCTTTATCGATTCACAAAAACGACAATCCGCTGTGCACAAACTGTGCTACTGGTGATAGCGCAAAACAGACTTTTGCATTGTCCTCTTTATAACAGGCATAGAAACAGCTCAAAACGTCCCTTAAAAATAATTGTCCTCCAGACTTAAAAAAATTAGTTTGCGATAAAGAAAATTCGTAAATATAGTATACTCGCACTTATTGCTTATTTATTGATTACTTTTCGTATATTTATCGCTTCCCTCATTTATAATTTTTATTTAACTTATTTATTTATTATTCGTCTGTTTATTTATATATTATTTATTCGTCTTCCTAGCCTCCATATATGTACATACTCATATAGGTGGTAAATTTCGGGCTGTTTACTGTGAACTAGCTTGTAAAATTTATCATATGTAAATATCATTGAACCAAAGTGTAAAGAAGTAACCAACAAAGGGAATCCCTTTTTGACTAGATAATTAAAACTAAAAAAAAACCTTTCCTTCCCTTGGTCTCACCTTCCACCAAAGAATTGCTAGAAGAAGACTTTAATTCCTTAATTATTTAATATATTAATTAAGATAGATAATAGATTAATAGATGGTCGAGGTCCGCCGGTACGGAGTCTCTCTGTGGTACGGCGTGGTCGTGGATTAAAAAAAAATACTGCATTTGGTTGGAGAAATGTGCTATGACCTGCCACAATTAGTAGGTGAGGTAGGCAATTGAAAGAAGATCAGTACAATTTTTTATTGAACCAATACATTTAAAAAAATCTGTTCCCGTTAATATTGAATAACCCCTGTAAATTAAAACTAAAAGGTACATGGTATTAAATTCAGCACGTTAATAATCTTTAATGGTAGTTTCATGTTTTATATATATAAGTACGTACCAGGTACATAAATGTTTATATGAAAAGGCACACTGACCTATTTAACTAGTAGATTGGTGGAAAATATAAATCCTAAAGTGTATAAAAGCAATCTACTCTAACAACATGAGCCTTACACTTACATGGAGACATGGGCCTATAAATTCATTTTGTAAAAAGGAGAGCAGGTGACTTCATAAAAACGATATTTCTTGCCAATTTCATCTCCATTTTCCGAACATTAGGTGAAATGGTCATGAATATACAACCAGCGCGTATCTTAGCTTCTTTGAGTAAAATGAATAATTGGTTAATTTATAGACATTGTATGAAAAAATAAGGGAAATTTTCAATCAAGATAAACTCACTTTATTTATTTTTTTTGCTTTTACAAATATGGACGTATATATATAAGTTACAAATATTCTACTTTTGGTTTTAATTTATTAAAATAATGATGAATGTTTCAATTTTTGTTGATAGAAAAGGTGAAAAGGTTTTGTTTAATGAGCACGTCTAGTACGCCATAATATAAATATTGGCATGAAAAACGACTTGGACGTATTTGTAATAGTTACAAGTATACCACTTTTGGCTTTTAAATTATTAAAATAGTGATGAATTTTTAATTTTTTATTGATAGAAAAGGTGAAAAGATTTTGTTTAATAAGCACGTCGAGTATGTCAGAATATAAATATTGACATGAAAATGACTTTGGCAAACAGGCCTGCGTAAATTTCTCTCCCAGTATCCACGTTTTCTGCATCATTTGGGGAAAATAATTGAGATTTGGCGTAAAAACCAATTACCAGGATATTGGAAATCACCGCTTTTCAGGAGGCGGTCGGGTACTTTTTCACGGCAATTAACCTGACGGATCGCATAAGCTCTCTATCTCAAGGACAATGCCGGGCAGACTGATTCAGAAAAGATTCAACAGTGATTCCAATTCTTGTACAAGATGGAAAAATGAAAATAATTAATTCGTTAATACTTGAAAGAGTGAGTATAGTACCGACACAAATTACCAGAACAGCTTTATTTACTAATTTTTTTTTTCCGAAAGGAGAGCAACATTTCTAACTGCTAGTTTCGTGAGTTGAATGACAAGCGAATAGGTAGTATTAGAGTGAAAGCTATGAAATTTTAATTGAAAGTAAAATGTGAAAGTATTTCGTAGCGTGAATTGAAGTTTTGCCCAAGATAATTTTGTACAAGACTAAAGGCTACTTTATTTGTATCAGTGACTTTTTTTCTTTGTTATCTGCTGGCTTTTTACATGCGTCACTGGCTGACGACTTGATGAGTGATTGACTTTTCGAGTTAATTGTACAGGAAAAAGAGTGAAATTTTCATTGCTCTTTTTACGTTCAGGATTCTTTGCGCTGTTTTCGATTCAGGGTAACACCAGGGTTGGAAATTGGAATCGATCTCAGTCAAAAACTAATTACTTTGCGAGCATGTTGAGGCGTTTAGGATGCATCTTACACGTGCGATGATAGACTCAATTAGGTTAGAGCAGATTCAGCTGTTCAATCGCTGGGTCATAGCATTATTTAAACTCCTACATACATCAATTTACCTGTAAAAAGTATGCCGAAGAAAATAATTGTTTCCTTATTACAGAAGATCATCATTAAATTTAACATCGTTGAAAAAGCATTTTGTTAAAAAGTACTTCGGTAAAAGAATGTTTTTCTACCTTGTAGTTTGCTAAAATTGTACGATATTTAAAAGAATTTGAATTAATTATTCTCTTCATTTAAGATTTTTGGTTGAAATGAAAAATTAATGTAACGAGCGGGATTCCTACCCACGGCCTTCAGCTAAACACGCCGCTGCTCTACCAATTGAGCTATCGTGAATTCGATCCCCTCCGATACCAACTTCCCATCTCAACCAACAACTGTTCAAATTTTCCCTCTTTTTGCCATTTTTCAAATGTCTTGTAATCAAGATTCGATTCTCAGCCACTTATGAAGAGGCTACGGGGAGCTATTAATGAAGTAATTACTTCTTTTACTTATTAAATCAATCCATCTTTGTTTAGTGGCCATAATTGACCATATTAATTATTCCAATTGATATGGTCAATTATGGCCACTATACAAATAGAGTAATTTAAAAGAATGTTTCCGGTATAATACAGTCACTCCCCATTTCAAGGAATGGATGACTGAATACGTTGCATGGCCAAAATGTTTGGTTCCACACAATTTATTTGTTTGTCGAATCGGCCCGAGCTTTTACTAGCTACTTCTTGTATTTATGATACCAATGGAGATAGTCTTTGTGAGGCGCTGAAAGGGTTGTAGTCATTGCCTCTATAATGCATAGATTTCGCCATCTTTTCATTCAGCCTAATTTTTGAGTGTCTTGTTTTTCTTGACCTTTAGTCCAACAGATTAATGAGCCGTTTAAAGTATTCCTTATTATCGCCGTTAATGCCGAGTATGCCAATTTTGGTTATTCTTCTTTGGGTTATTAATGATACTTTACTTTTGGTTATGATGTGCTGTGGAAAAGGTTTTTGTCAACATTTCAAGTTATTTACTCCCAATGTTTTACCGGGAACTGTTATGGAAGAAGCATCATGTGTTTCTAAAATAAAATGGGCTTAAGACTTTTCCTTGAAGATTACACGACTTGAAACGTTATTTACTTGTACGACAGAAGAGATTTTTTGTGTTTTTTAAAGTAGGTCCAAGTGCCAGACTCGATCGAAAGTTAAGATCAACGAAAATTCCCAAGCTGCATTGTGGAATGACTTAGTTACGCCTATATTTTTGCTTTGAGATGCTTACAGGTTATGAAACTTATAATAAAAGTCATAAAGCTATCAGCACCACCTATAGTAGTTGGTTAATGTACTGTGGTATATTTGATTTGAAGTTGTAAATACCTCTTCGTTTATGTGGCAATAGTTACATGATATTGTTTCAAAAATAGAATAATCAAACTGGCAAAATGATGGTATTAATGTAAATTGGAAAATTGGTAAGATCCTATATTTAAATTTCGATTTCCCTTTCACTCATTCACTGCAACCCATTGTAATGGTTATCAGATAAAATAATATTGAATTATAAACATTTTTTGCTCATAAACATAAATTTTTGTTTTAGAAATTTAACAACCAAACCATGGTACGTACCAACAGACACGGCCAAGAGGAACGAAAGGGCCAAAAAAGCTTACACAGCACTTTTGACCGTGTCCGCCAGGACTCCAAATTCTCAGTCTTATCTTAACTTTTCAAACGAGGTGAGTTGATGCTATTTATTTTTCCGTTTTTGTTCAATATTTTAAATCATTTTCGAAAATTCCGGGCTAAAAATCAACGTTGGCTTGCGGTCCAATATGAAACAGGGAACATATAAAAAAGAAGACCGTATAGTTTGAATTATTTAGGTTTGGAGTAGCATATAATGAGGTTTGCTATAGAAATCAACGATAATTTCAGAATAATTTTAGAAATCCAATTTGCTTTTAAGGTTTTATAGCGGGAGAATAGAAACATAAACCACACAGGAAGGTTTGCCATAAATTTATTTTGAACCAAATCATTTTAATTTTACGTTTTATACTCTGTATACTAGCTTCTAAGAAATAGTTTTTATGATTTGTTTAAATGGCAATAGTTCTCCTTCTCATAAAAACTATTTATAGTTCCCGATTTTATCATGGGCAAACATTTTAATTTTTAGACTATTTTTAATCATCTATTTTAAATTTTCTTTTTTTTCGTTTTTATGTTCCAATTTGAAAATTCTGTGGTCTTTGATTTTTTAATTTTTAACATTGTCAGTAGCCGTATGAGACAAGTCTTCTCACTCATAAAAGGGGCAACATCAATTATGCGTGTAACTATCAACACTTAACGCAAATTCCAATGTATATTCAATTAATAATATGAAAATTTTACAAATTGTCTGGAACGACTCTCGAAGGCTTTTTACATTTCAATCAAGTGCCTGTACACCAACATCTTAATCCAAAAAATTTGAAATATTGAAGTTCCATTAGCATTTAATGAATTTTATGTCAGTTACACTTTTAAATATTTTAAGTCTCGTAGTTTAAGCTTAACTATCTCATAAAATTTGTCTCCTTACTATATTTATGAATCTATCTAACAATCGGCAATTTTTCAGTTTCTGATTTATTACCTTTCGGTCCTATCGTTCAAACATTTCATTAAGGAATATCATCATCAATAAAATAACGCTCAACGCCAACTGACTGTTCAACCTTGTTTTCTGCGATCCCACCCCATCCAACATCGGCTTGGAAATGAAAGATGTCTTTGCCCCTGGCCTTTTATAAATGACCCGGGAGTTTTCTGGTCCTGATCGTCTGAAGAGTTGTTATCGGTCTCATTTGTAAAACATTTTGCGGAATCAATATTACCAGCGACGCCGATTCCAGTGTTGACTAGCAAAACACAGCTGTTCAATGTTGCTCTATTACAAAAGGAAATTAACACCTGTTTGCTGAATAGTGAATATATGGAATAGTCTTGTTTACAAATTACATTGTACATTACATGATTGCTGAAAGTAGGATTCTTATTAATAATTAATATTCTGTGTGTCTAACAGGAAAAAATTAACTTCTCGATAGACCGAGAGAGAGAGAGAGAGAGAGAGAGAGAGAGAGAGAGAGAGAGAGAGAAAAAGAGAGAGAGAGAGAGAGAGAGAGAGAGAGAGAGAGAGAGAGAGAGAAATAGAAAAAGATAAAAAATGAGAGTGAGAGAGTTAGAGAGTGAAAGAGAAATAGAAAGAGATAAAAAGTGAGAGAGTGAGTGAGGGATAAATAAAAAGAGAGAAAGAAAATGAAAGAAAATGTGTGTGCGTGGTTGTGTATGTAAGAGAGAGATAAAGGTAGATAAAGAGAAAGACAGTGAGAGATAAAGAGCAAGTGAGTAAGGCAAAGAAGAGAGAAAAAGTACAAACTAAAATAAAATAAAAAGAAAAACATATACAAAGTAATACATAAATAGACATAGTATATAGTTTATATGATATAGATTATATATATCATAGATATATAGATACAGGTTACAGGTTGTATCAACTTCTACAGTCCACCCATTTAATTCGGAAAAGATTAACTTTAGGAAAAATGATCTTATGAAATAACTTTCTCATCTAGCTGAGAAATGGCACTAACATTGTTATTTTATGTGTGGTGATTAGTGACCGTTAGTCAATGATTATTCGGAGATAGTGAGATGCGGTCTGGTGTGAAGTAGGTTTTAGAAAAACATTTTCTTTATCGTGCCAACGTTTCCATCTTTATTGAGATCATCTTCGGTGCCTGGGATTTACAAACATTGTTTAAATTTAAAAAATACATATAGGATGTGGAACAAAATGAATTTATACAATGCAAAAAATATATTTTTGTATAAAAATATATTTTTATAACAATTTTTTTGTAAAAAACAATAAAAAAATTTAAAATTTTATTTCCAGAGCTTCCAGAGCAGATTCCATTCTAGAGCTTATTTTATGTCACTTTTACTAAAAGGGCAATTTTTATAGGATCGATCATTTTAGAGATTAACTTTAGCAAAAAATTATCTTAAACAAATATATATCAAACACAAAACAAATCCCAAGTTAATTTTAGCATCGCGTGGTTGTAACAGATTTAACTTAACTTTCTCATCTACCTGGGAAATGACACTAACTTTGTTATTTTAAATGAGAATCCCATGTTTTTATTTTAAAATTGGATTTTATAGCTTATTTTATGTCACTTACTGAAAGGGCAATTCTGATAGGATCGACGATTTGTGAGTTATGCCCGATGGAAGGCGCATGAGGGAGGTATGGTTTTTTAACAACAAAAATGCCTTCCCCGTTTATATCGAAAACGATTAGCGTTAGAAAGTAGTGAATTTAGGATAGGAATCGTGGGGTCGCTTTTACGCTTAGGCTATATTAATTTACAAAAAGAACTATTTTTAGAAAAAAAGATTTTTTTCATCATCATCGAGTCCATTTTATTTTTAAAATGGCTATTATGTATTGTTGCAGATTTCACCATTTATTAACATTTATGTTTATAATAAATGCTCAAACACCCGACCCGTGTTTGATGCCTAGAGTTCTGCTTGTTTCAGTAATTCCTTTGTTCTAAATCTTGGGCAGTCAATACAGGAGATGGATTGGCATACACTCGATTTTTCAATGCACCACGCGCCAAAGAAATTAATACAAGAGGGTCAAATCTGGTGACCTCGATGGCCACGAAACGGACCTTGTATATCAATTCATCTCCCTGAATGGTTCATGTCCAAGTAATTAGTAAGGACGTGTTCTGAGCAGGGCAACAGTCTCGTTGGAACCACATCATTCGCCGGATATATAGCGAAATTATCTCAATGAGAACAGCGAGGGTATTTTCTATTTAAAAAAATGATACCGCTCCCCGTTCTGCGTTCCGCTAAAAAAATGTGGTGCAATAAGTTGATTGCCAAGCAATCCGAACCAGTCGGATTTTTTTTGAACGCGTTTGATTATTCCAACCAGGATTTTCTGTTGCATAGAAAACAACTTTATACCAATTCAGTATCGCGTTATTTAACAATTCAATATCATTTCAACGAGGATTCGTGAAATGAAATCCAAACGCCTCGTTTGATCTCCCTCGCAGAATGCCTTGTGAGAGATGAGCACGATAAGGACGAATATTATTTACTTCCAATATTCGCCGGACCTGGTGAGCCGATATACCGAGAATCGAAGATCTCTGGTGTGAGGTGAGGATATTTCATTTTCGGGCGTTACTACCGGAAGTGTTTGGTTGGAGTTAGCATAGGTTAATGACCCATGCTCACGAAAATTTTGGTATAAACGCAAGAAAATACGATGATCATGGTGTCTCTTATCCGGACACCTTTCTCTAAAAAACGTGTAAATTAACTTAATTCAAAGGTAAGAAATCGTAAGCAACTGGTATGCATGGTTATATACAGAAAACCCACTGCAACAGACAACATAATAAATGCACAATCCCACCACCAATACCAACACAAACTTTCAGCACTGCGACACATGATACATAGACTAAAAACAAACCCACTCAATACTGAAAACTACAACAAAGAACTACAAACAATAATGAACATTGCAATAAATAACGTATACAAAGCAAACACAACCCATAAACTTCTAAAAAACAACGAAAAACCGAAACACAAATCAACAACAGATGAACAACATTCACATACACAGAAGAGAAACCTACAGACTAACGAATCTGTTCAACAAACTCGGGCTAAAAACAGCACTAAGGACCAGCAATAACACAGGTAAACTACTAAAAAGAAACATAGACACAACTAACCCGCTAACGGTGTATATAGCATCACAGTCAATGCGGATACACTCACATTGGACAGACTGGAAGGAAACTAAGAGATCGATTCAAAGAACATCTTAGATCCTTCAGAGACAATGACGGAAAATCAAATTTACAGAGCGCACAAATAGGACGACAATTAAACATAATGCAGATTAACACTTAAAACACAATGCAAAATATAACACACAAACAAATACACATTCACACACTATCTTCACACCATTAAAAACACTTCATAACAAAAAAAAGAAAACGTCCAGAAGAGCACAACCTCGTAACCAACACCAGAAAAAAGAAAAAAACAACGTACAAATAATAACAAAAAAATAAAAAAATAAAAAATAAAAAAAATAAATAACCTCCACCAAGACCGAACAATGAGTACGACGACCACGCCCCCTTACGCAACACCCCCAGCGACAAGCGACGGGCTCAATACTATATAAACCGTACCCACACAAAATGACAGACAGTCTCTCACTGAAGATGGCGCAATGCCGAAACGCATACGAATAACTCAAAAAAAAAAAAAAAAACCGCGGGTGAAGCCAGACCCAGTAGTGGCCGTGTGCCGGATCAACATGAGATAATGTTTTGCTGAAGTTAATCTCAGAAATGATCAATCCTATCAAAATTTTCCTTTCAGTAAAATTGGCGTAAAATAAGCTGTAGAATAAAAATATGTGATAATCATTTAAAATAACAAAATGAGTGTCATTTCCCAGCTAGATGAGAAAGTTATGTTAAATCAGTTGCAACCATGCGATTCCTTCCCGAAAATAAGTTAGGGTATGTATAAGATAATTTTTTGCTAAAGTTAATCTTAGAAATTTTCGGTCCCATCAAAATTGCCCTTTCAGTAAAAGTTACATAAAACAAGCACGAGAATCTAATTAAACAATAAAAATATGGGATTCTCATTTAAAATAACAAAGTTAGTGTGATTTCTCAGCTAGATGAGAAAGTTATTTTAAATATGTTACCACCACGCTATTCCTAGCCAAAATAAACTCGGGGTTTGTATAAAACCGTTTTTTGCTAAAGTTAATCGTTTCTGAATTAAATGGGTGACAATAGAAGTTGATCACCCTGTATATCTATCTATAATTTTTTCTATCTGTCTATTTATCTATCACACTGAAAGTCTGTGTTTATTATAAGTGATTGAATATCTATTGTAGTAATTATTCGTTTATATTTACAATCTTTCTCAATTGCCGCCTTATTTTGTTTTAATCTTAGTTTGATTTATTTTCCAATAGAGGTGTTTCTGCTTCAAGTGACTTTGCAGGTGCATTCTATCAAATCTGTAACTTCTATGCGTTCTGCAGAGGCAGTTCTATTTTGTAACTACAATCCCAAAAAAATAGTATTTTATGCCTTGATATCAAAGACTGCTTTGATAGATTATTTAATAGTATCCTCTGATCTGACGATATATCTGCCACTGCCGTACTTAAATTTATTCAACTACCCGCAGGATATTCTAGAACATTTTCTTCCATACTATTTCTTCTGATAACTAAGCATATATTGCTTGAAATGTAAAAAAGAATGCATCACACAAATCGCACGTATTACGAATTATGTGTTTCAATTATTCATTTCTTATTTTATTTATATGTTTATTTTTTTAACTGACAAGCGTTTTTTTCTTCAGGTAAAATCAATATCAAAAAGAAGATACAATTACACCTTCGGCCCAGAGCCTCTATCGACGTTCGTCACGGCTTTCTACGACGCGGTCTTACTTTACGCTATCGCCCTTAACGAAACCCTGGAATCCGGAGGCAATCAATCAGACGGAATGGCCATCGCTAGGAGAATGTGGAATCGTACATTTACAGGTCATCATCAATGTTTATATATAATTAAAATTAAGCTTGCGTGATTCAAACAAGATTGAGATTTGTCAGAAATGTATGCCTCTTTGTGAGATAAATTTACTTTTATTTACGCTTTCTTTTTATTTTAAAAATAATACCGCTAAATAATAAATTAATTTATTTAATTTACAGGAATTACAGGAGAAGTGAATATCGACTCTAATGGCGACAGGATTACAGATTATTCCCTATTGGACATGGATCCTGTTACTTCCGAATTTAAGGTTCATTGTTTAATTGACAATATAATATATCAGTTTTGTAAAAATCCCTCGAATTTTTCATTTTTCTTTCTCATAAAATATTTATCCGCTTATTTATTGATTCCAGTTATGTTCTAGTTAGTGAATCCAACGTGATCGCTGCAAAATCCAATTACCACGAGATTACATTAAAAGGCTTACGTAAAAAAAAATCTTATTAGCTTTTACTTGTTAAAAAATTAATCAGCTCTGGCCAGTATGCAGTTAATTTGACGCAGGGTGTATATAAATGAAATTTTATGACATAAGAATAATATGAAAATATTAGTTATCAATTAGCGTTAGTTCACCTAAATATCCGATTATCATTTTAGGCAAGAAGTAAAAAATAAAATTAAATATTTTTGCTCTCCTCAATCTGACCAGTATAGTTATAAATATACAGGGTGTTTGAAACATATTGTCACACCGCCTTTTTCTCAAAATCAAGGCTAGCAAGAACAAAATTTTAAATAGTAATTGTCTTAATTTTTGCGTAGTAATTGAATAAGTAATCAAATATTTAATTTTTATACAGGATACTGCGGAAATCATACCTAAATCTTTGATTTCAAAAGGCACCCTTTATATTCTTCTGAGTTTATCAAACTAAATTTCTTTCTAAGAAAAGAAAAATCAAGGTTGAATTGAAGAGGTAATGTTTAAAAAAAATAAACATACATCTTTCTGACTGTTTATTAACAAATTGTTATTTGAATCTGTTGATTTGTGAATCTCTCTCTCTCTCTCTCTCTCTCTCTCTATATATATATATATCTATATATATATATATATACCTGACACTATTATCACCACCTACGCGGACGATCGCAACCCTATCCTCTAACTCGAATCCTGTCCAAGATACCTCCAACATCCAGGTCACCTTGAGCTTAGCAAAGACTGGTGGAAAAAATGGAGGACAAGATTGTACGAAGAAAAATGCACTCAGTGTTCTTTTGTGCTGAAAAAGGAGACTTGCCCTCCATTGTACATCAACAACAAAGAGATACCAGTTTCCACTCAAGTCAAATATCTGGGACTATATCTCGACATCAGTCTGATGTGGAATCCCCACGCAAGATTTAAAAAACAACAACTTAAGACAAGACTTGGACTACTACGAAGACTTCTAAGACCGAAATCGACTTTGACAATTGACAAAGCTAACACTGTACAATACTTTACAAATACCAATATGGACATGCGGAGTGGAACTGTGGCGAGCCAAGCTTTCCAATATCCAGCGTAACCAGTCCTTCCAATCGATAGTAGACAAAGTTTCAAAGCACCTTATTATGTCACTAACCACACTATCCACAAAGACCTCAATATTCCTTTTGTCAACGAACTAATCCGGTCCAGAATGGTCTGTATGGAATATAGGGTACCGACAGACCTGTCGAACAAATAAGGTTAACATAGGATAATGAATGCATGATTTATACTGTGTGTGAATGTGTTTATTAGCGTGAATGAACACAAGGCGGCAAGGAGAAAATCGCCTTGCCGGGCTTCCAACCATACGTTTAGGCTGTACATAATTTTAGCGTAGTTGTAGGGGTGACGATGTTAGCAGTATATTCATAAATTCACATATATATATANTTTACCTACTGGGGAAGTTATATATACAAACAACTAGCACTGGAAGCATATAAATGCAGAGACAGTGATACACTACTTCCATACGCCAAAAAAAGTTCAGAAGAAAAAGCATTAAATTAAATTAAAACAACAACAAAAAACTAACCACACACAATTATGCAACGGAAATAGCCGACATCATGATAAACCTAATTCACAAACGACCGTAGCGACATATGACAATACTATACGGACAACGAAACAGTCAGTTTGCCTCTGAAGAAGGCGCAATGCTTGAACGCGTTTGAGTAAGTGCTGTTTTCTGTTTTCACGTACACGCAGACCAACACACAGTACCATTCTAAAATAGTATAGAAATTGCAAATAGCACAAAGTGGTAAACAGAAGTTGCCCCCGCGTTTTTCCCATAAGGTAATTAAAATTGTAACCTAGATTCAATCAAAATGAAGTCACGGAAAATATTACATATCGTCTATTCGTTATTTTAACAGGGCTATTTCCTCCTCTAACGTTGATCACTATTTACATTAGACGTGATATGAATTTTATGATTTTTGACTGGAATATTTTCATATTTCTCCAGCAAAAACCATATTTAATCCTCCGAATTATTTTGTGAAACTGAGCTACCTTTAACTCTCCATGATAACTAGCCACAAAAGGGCTCAAAAAGGGTTTAGTTGGGACAACATGCCTCCATTCCATTGAAATGAATTCAGTTCCAACTAGTCTGATTCGATCCTATGTGTGTGCGGCTTTGCATTGTCACGCATAAAAATAAACCGGTCACCAATTAATGACGTAAAAGGAAATAAACATCGATGAAGATCAAGTAGGTGCGTCTGTCAAACCAAAATGTCAGTAACGACCTAATTTCAATAAATCGATCGTCACTCTGAGAAGTGGAACGATGGACTCTTTTCTTGTCCATTAGTTATGGACCTCGATAGCGATGGAAGACCCTTTGGATAATTGTCCTGGGAATGTTAAGTATCCTGATCTACGTTTTTTACCTTCCACCTTCAGGAATTCTCTAGTTTTAGCCGAATCTATGCTTATTAACTATCATTCAAAACATTAATTAAAAAGTTAATCCTAAAAAATATAACTTCTGGAACGTTAAAAAGACGTTTGCCACCAATATAAACAAAACAGATTAATGACTATTCAAAAATTTATTTACAAAATCTACTTGTAAACATAATTAGGGATTCTCCCTGTGTTTTAATTACGTCTAAAGCCATTGACATATTATTATAATCTGCTGATTGTGCAATTGTCTAAGAAATAAGAAAAAATATTAAAGGCCAATTTTTGCCTCTAAGTGTATATTGTAATAAAGAACCGGGTCATATTACGCCTGCAGTTTCAATAATAGCTATAATTGAATTAATTTAATAGCTAGTATTTTAATGTTAAACATTAAATGAACATCATAAGCAATTTGTGAGCAAGCACCCACAGTATTGAGTTAGTGAATGAAATAATAACGCCTACAAACTTGGTAATTGTCTACCTACAAAACTATTAAACCACCTACTTATTTATCGAAATACCGATCATTCTATTTAACAACTTAATTCTTGATACGTTCGTCTTTATATTAATTTTTCAAAAATATCTCTTTAAATTGTCCAGTATCAAGGTATCAATCAATTTGTAAAAATGTATTAATTTTGAAGTTTCTTTATTGTTCCGATGTAAACCATTACCTACATGGTTTTAGAAACTACTAATTTACTTAATTCGGTTGGTTAGTTCTGTGTGCGATAGCCCCAGATCTCGAGAGCGTTTGGAATTTTCGGTAAGGTGTACAGATGGTTTCTGTGTACACTCCCGAAAAAAGATCCATCACTGACTTTAGAAAAACGTTTTACCATGAATTGGAAGAAAATATGCGAGTAGTAAACGTGTTAAGAGTCCAAACATTCCTTCAACGTAACCCAAGAATTTTTTAAATAGTTTTTATGATAAAATAATTTGACCAGTTACAAGCAATTATTTCCTTTAAAAGGTTTGTTTTTTAATCCCTACTGCCGGCTGTTTCCTTTACCTTTGAGTTAAAAATAGAGCATTTTGCCCATACTATATTGATAAAATAACTATTTTGAATGTTCTCAATTTATAGTTTCTATACAGGGATAATAGTGGTGCTAGTATAAGTCGGGTGTTTATATTATTTGATTGTTTTAATATTGACCACTACGACAGAATATTATCCGAGTTATCTGATATTCCCGAAGACATTTATTGCGCTTTAAATATAAATTTGTTAATATTGCATAAACATGGCATAAACACATTTTCCGCGTGACGGCCAATTCTCAAAATGTCCCAGGACGCGATTTTTTAAAATTATTATTATTATTTCTTTTTAAAGATTTCGTTATTTACCCTTGTATTGGTATAAAAATTAATAAAGATTTTCTAGCTTAAAAATTATCCGTCATGATGTATTGACACGTGCATATTTTGGTTGACAGGTTATACTAAACCGACAGTGCTATCCGAATATCGACAATTCCGAATCAATTTTTCCTCGTGTATTGTTGTAAAATTTAAAAAAAAAATGTATCAATAAGTATAATACCTGTTCACAGAAATTGATTTGACGTAATTCGCTGATTATAGCTTTTTTAAAGAAATTAACCTTTTCCCCCGGTCAAATAACTTTTTTTTGTAATTTTAAATTAACCATTTTTCGCACCAAATTAACCCTTTTTAATTTTAAATGATCTTCCAATTTCAAATGAACTATTTTTTATTAACTTTTTTAAAGTTTTGATTATCTTAATTACCAATTATCCCATTTGAACTTTAAATTAACCCGTTTTAATTTCAAATTAACCCTTTCTTTAAATCATTAGAAAACTAGAAATTATGAAATATAAGCATGTAATCTCTTAGGAGGGAAAATATTTTGACTCTTAGCATAACTAAAGAATTATTTTGTATTTTTTGAGTGTAGAATCTCCAAAAAAGGTTAGGTCCAAATCGTTACCCCGCCAACCTGGTTTTTCCCTTGTAAGACGTAGAATCTTAGAAATCTTGGCGAAGACACGAATTATTTCATTTCCCTACTAGCCATTTTGAACAATTACCGCTTATAGACGAATAATATGTCGAGGAAAGCACTGATTTAATTATGCTCCATTTTGAAATTTCGTGAGGGCAAAGGTAAAATTACTTAGTGCAATGCCTGTTTCTTTAATTAATATCAACTAACCTACCTTGTTAAGTTCAGATTTTATAATTAGGTTTATTAAATTACTATCAAAATTTAATGTAAGATTAGATTTTCTTTATCTTTTCCTGTTCTGTGATAATTTTCTATGACTTCTTCCTTCAGCGTGATTCACGAGTAATGTGTCATT